CCCCCCCCCCCCAGCCAGGCTGAAGCTCCACTCCCCTGCCCCTTGGCCCCCTTCGAATCAAGGGTAGGAAACAACCCCCCCCCCCCCGCATGGCAGTTGCATGGCTTTAAGAGTGCCCACCCCCCAATCCCCATTTTCTCTCACACAGGAGGAAATTCTGCTGCTAAATTAAAGCTGTGTGATCCGTAGAGGCTGCTTCTTTTTCTCCATCCACCCGAGGACTGGATCCTCTTTCCGAAAGAATCCTCTCCAGGGCAGTTGACGCCAGGTCCCACATTCTGTGAAGTGGCCGAAGGCAAGGGAAATGTGTGCGTGTGTGTCTGCCGAGAGGTGGAAGCGTCAAAAGTTATATGATTTAGCAGAGATGTCTACGGAGAATAAGCAACTGACTTCTTAAGAAAGAAAGAAAAAACTACGCAGTGCTGGTGCTTTCTGAATAAACTCCGCTCCCTTTGAGAGCCGATAACCTTTCTGGACTATTTCTGCATGAATTTACGACCAGCCCCTCGCAGCTTGCTAAAAAGTTTGGAGAAATAATGTAAGGAACACATAAGTAGGCTAGGCAGAACTGGACCCCTGGACCCCAGGGGTCATTTGACGTGTTCGCAGCTGTGGAGGGCGCATAGGTGCTGGTGTGCATCTGCGCCTAGAAGCTTTCCACTAGCGATCGGAACACCCAGCCTCTGCTGAGAGTGAACTCTAGTGTACAGTTTTCATACCCCTGAGAGACAGTCAATAAATCTTTTTCTAGAAGCAGGTTCACTTGTGGCTGTTTTCTTTTTTTGAAAGTGGGAATGTTGGTGGGGTCTTGGAAGGGCTAAGGTAGCCGTTTTGAATGGATTTCCTGCAATGCATCCTCCCCTTTGGGAACGGACTGGCAGAAACCGAGGGAGGATGGCAGCTTCGCCAAGGATTCCACCGAGGAGGTTAGACAAAGCAGAGGGGGAAAGGTTATGGGCAGGGGGTCCTAGGAGGATCTTTGTGAGACAGCGAAGAGGAGGATCTGCCTGAACCCTTCTGGTAGGGTCACTGGAACCTCGCCAGGCCCCCTCCCCCTTTTAAGCATGCAAAGACCCCAAGGCGGCCCCACAGCCGCAGCCTTTCCCGTGAAGTGCCCCCAGCGGCCACCCTGGTCCAGGCAATAATACGCAAAGTGATTGTAGTCACCTGCATACATCTGTATTTGCAAAAGGTCCTGTTATCAAGATATTGCTTTTTTTACATTTTCTGCTTCACATAACAATGCATTTGAACATTTTCCAAAATAACTTGCCGTAACAATGACAAGGCTCCTCTTTCCTTCCCCCAAGTTATAAAAATACTTACAAAATCAATTCTTCTCTGCAACAGTGTGACAGAAACATCCCTGAAGTTCTTTTTTTTCCTCCCTCCTTAAATTATTACTCTTTAAAAAGCAGACCTTTTGTGGGTATTGCAAAGGTTCGGGGGATCCCAAAAATAAAATAAAATAAAATTTAAGAAGGGAGACCTGATCATTCACAGCAAATTAAGATCGCCAGTTGGAGACTTCCAACATTTCCATGCTTGGAAGGAGCAGAAACCAGAGCCTTCACGGCTAATTACACTTAAGGACTCCTGTGCAAATTGATGGCTTCGCCATATTTCCACACCTGTCTCTCCCTGCAGCTGTAAACCTAGCATGTCAGGGAACAAGCTTCATTAATGTCATATAACCTTTCCACGTGCTGGAAAATGTTTCATTCAAGAGTAGTGAAGGTCTTTTTTAAAAGCTCTCACAGATATGGATAGTACTGATAACGGAGGGCTATTTCTACTGCCCTACGGGGAAAACGTGATTCGGGGATCTTCTGCACAGTGATGCAAGGCCAAGTTTCAACCGCGTAGCAGTTGTGTGTTCAGGAACATGCGCTGTTGCAAGCAACCTCAGGCTCTCACGGTTTATCCCCCCAGCCCCCTTAAAACCTGGTGATCCCATCACAGCCACTGCTTGCCTTGTCTAAGCATCCAGGCTAGCTCTCCACATACCTTTACCTCTTCAAAAACAAGAGAACCAAGCCTTGTTCCTTGAAGTGTGCAAACGAGGAGTAAATGCCTTTGTTTGGTGTAAGAAACCAGAATCTCCTGGGGTCTCTCTCCCCTCCCCCCCCTCCCCCCGGACTCCCTGGGTAAACCCTGCTGTTGTGTTCAATGAATTCCTGCAGAATCGCAGGACGTTGGCAAACCCATCAAGGGTTTGGGCCAGCCCCATCTTCAGTCCAGCTTCCCTGGGGGACCTGGAAGGCCTCAGGCCAGCCGGCCAGAATCCACATGTCCTTTCTGGAATCTTTCCTTTTTCTTCCCTGGTGTAGCAAGCCTGTAGTAGAAATGTGAATGAAGCAAAGGGTGAAAGAAAGGGTGGCCCTGGAAGAAGCCTAGGATCCGAGGGGGCTGCAGAGATGCCCCGGGAGGGATTGCCCCAGCGGGCAGAAGGGCCAGCAGCCCCCTTCGTTGTCCAGGAGCAGGTCTAGGAGCATTTTCTTCTGGGGAGGGGTTTCCCCATCGGGACCTTCTTAGCCTAACAGAGCAGGAGAGGCCCGGTGCTCCTCTGGCCTTCCCTGCCTGGAGCAGCCTCCCGGGCTCCCGGGGATGGGAGCTGGAGTCACAACCCGCGGGAGGGCAGGCCAACCCCTCCGGGCTCTCCTTCCTCCGACGGCCGGCCCTAGTCCCAGTAGGCGTCGAGCGGCTCGCCCTCGCTGTCCAGCCGGTAGAGGCCGAGCGCCGGGTCGGAGAGGAGCCCGAGGTCCACCAGCGCCTGGTCCATGTCGTCGGGCAGGAAGACGATGCCCACGTTGAGGGCGATGTACTCCAGCAGGAAGGCGTAGTAGAGGATCAGCAGGTTGACCAGGAAGAGGCCGGCGGAGAACATCGAGGGGGCGGCGGCGCCTGGCACCAGCCGGGACGCCCGATCGGGGCACGGGGGACGCTGCCAGCCCAGCAGCCCCGGCAGGGCGGCCCCTCCGGCCGGCAGCCCCCGCCGCTCTCTGGGCGCCGATGGCGGGACAGCGGGCAGGACCGTCCGGCGCCCGGGACTCTGGTCCCCGCGGGCGCGCCTTGCAGACGGGCTGCGGCGGGGGCGGCGCTGGGGCTGTTGGCGCGGCCCTCCTAAGCCCCGCCGGACGCCCCCCCGGCCATGACCGCACGGCTGCTTCGCGCCACCCGCCGGGCTGCAGCGGGCAGGAGGGGCTCGGCTCGGCCGTCCGTGCCCAGAGCTCCGCCCGCCTCCGCCTCCGCCTGCGCGGCTCCCGGGCCGCAGAGCGCGCCTCCGCGGGGGCTGCAGCGCGGCGGCGAGGGGGTTAAGCGTGACGCCGACGCCTCATTAGCATGCGCGCCCCGCCCCTCTTGGGTCACAAACGCTCGCCCGTCTTCCGGGATGCCCGCGCGCAGGGGCCGCCGGGAAGGGGAGTTTGCGGCCGGTCCGCCCGACGTCGGGCGTCGGGGCAGGCGCGGGCGCGTAAGACTGCGCTTCCCGGCGTGCCCCGCGCCTGCGCGGTGCACGAGAGGACGGCGGCGTCGGCGTCTGGGCTACTCTGAGCGGCTGAGGGGAGGATGGCGGCGGCGGCGGCGGCCGCTGAGGACGAGGCGACCGAGGAGGGGCAGCAGCGACAGCAGCGGCGGAGGCGGAGGCGGCGGCCGTAGGAGCGGAGGCGCGCCTGCGGGGCCCGCGCACGATGTTCGGGCGGTCGCGCAGCTGGGGCGGCGGCGGGAAGGCCTCGCGCAACATCCACTCGCTCGAGCACCTCAAGTGAGTCTCCCCGCGGGACCCCTGCGCCCATCGTCCGCAGCCGGCCCCGCCCCCCGCTCTCGAAGGCGGCCCGAGCGGAGCTGGGGGTCTCGGGGGGGCTGCCGGGGGGGCCGCTTGTGAAGCAGGGCCGGCATCCTGGGCCGCTGCAGGGCGGGAGGACTACAACTCCCAGGGCTCCCTGGGCAGCCGTGCAGGCTGGGGGCATTCGGGGGGGGGGGGGGGACGACAGGCCGCCTTAAAGGGGGTTGAAGCGGCCGGCTGAAAGAAGCGCCTCCCGCACCTGCTGGGGCGGCGGCGGCGGCGGCGGCGGCCTCTTTCCCGGGGCTGGAAGGCGGGGAGCGGGAGGCGCCGAGCAGCCGCCGCCGCCGCCCAAGCCTAAGAAGGCCGAGAGAGACCCAAAGGGAGTCCCGTGGCTTTCTCAGCCCACCGGCCCTTGGAGGAGCCTTCGCCCTGCGCAGAGTCACCCCGAGGGTGGAGGAGAGGCACATAAATGTGTCCCCCCCCCCCTTGCGGGGGGGGGGGCGGGGGGGGGCCAGTTGGACTCTGGTAGTCCGGGGTCCGGGGAGCAGAAGGTCTCCAGAGTGGGTGAGGTCAAGGAGCCTCCCCTTCTTCCCGAGCGGAGGAGGGGTGACCCTGTCTCCAGGCTGCCTCGGCCTTCCCTCCTGCTGGGGGCCCGGACTGCTGGGGGCTGGA